ACTGGGGATCACAGAGCCCAAGTAATATCTAGAAAGCAAATGACAGGCCCCTGGAATGCAGAGCCATTGACCAAAGCAATGTCTCTGGAGGCCCCAGCTAAGTTAGGGCTTGTGGAAACTAATTTCCATGCCAGTGCTAGTAAAGAATATGGGTCTCTAATTGCAAGAACCTCCCCTCCACTGAGCAAAACCCCAGAAGTAACCTTCCCTCCTGAATTTCCAGCAACCCACACAGTGGAAATGGATAGTCAGGAAGCAATAAGCACTCACAGAAAGAGAAGTGGATGGATCAGTCTCTCGGCTCACTCCATATTAAAGCGTTCTGTTGCAGGAATGGAACCTGCTTATGTGGTGATCTCTGAAGAACTGGACCACCCACCAATCTACCCATACTCTTGGACTGCAGAGATGAACATGAGTGCTGGAAAGCAGCTGAGCTTGTCAGAATACAGCAGCAGAACAGAGATGGGAGCACAAGAATTCAAAGATGAGCACAGGAAGGAAGGAAGAGCTAGCCCAATGCTCCCTTCTAAGGCAGTGAGGCCAACTCTCAATCATGTCATGTTCCTTCAGGCAAGTAGGCTCAAGAAAAAGCTGTTCCCCTTTGAACAAACCCAGGCACTTCTGGGAAAGAAATCCACAGAACCAGTGATCACCACAGAGGAATTGCTGCTCTCCTCTGGGAACTGGCAGATGCACCAAGTACAGACAGACACCAGTGTTCCTGCCGTGCCCTCCCTAAGAACAGAGGAAGCCAAAGGTGCACGTGCTGCTAGGGGAAGCAGGAGTCAAGGTCTCCTCCCTGAGTCAAATGACATTGTGAGCTACAGAGAGACCCATACCACAAGCCTCCCTGGGGAGGAGGCTGTACCACACATCTCAGCTATGGAGAGGGCTCCCTTAGCAAGAACTGCAAATATCACTTTTGAATCCCTAGAGCCCTGGGAGAGCAGGAAAAACAGCCTGGCTGAAAAGGAAGTGAAGACAGCTGCTGTGCCTGGACTCTTCAGAGCTACTCTTGCTCCTGCCAAACAGTCCAATAACACAGTGCTGGCTACAAAAGCAATAGAAGGCCCGTCTGGGAGGGGGATAGAAACACATGTACAAGGAAATGAAGGTGGAGAGCAGCCTGTTCCTACAACAGAAGGAATGCTGTCTGTGGGCATGGAAACAAAAACTGTGTGCACCTTTTTGGAGGCTTTTGGTGCTCAAATGACTAATGTACCCACTACTTCAGTTACAGAAGAAGCCACAAACCTTGCCAGGAAAGGAGGCAGCAGAGAAATTCAGATTCTAGTTGGAATGCCAGCTGCAGCAACCAAGAGTCTCTGGGAACCTGCAAAAATTGTATCCACCACAGCAAGACATGAAAACCAAACTCTCAGTCCCACAGAGTTGGCATCAAGGGCAGTCCCAAACTGCCAGAGGAAAGCTTGTTCTAGAACAGAGCAAAGGGAAGAAATGAACTTGTCAGTGACTGAAGTGGTGTATAGACAATTCCTGGAGGCTCTGACTAAAACCACTCCCCAAGCTGTGCTGGGTCACCAAGAAGTCCAGAAGCCCTGTAGAAAGCAGGGTAGGGTGCACACTTCTGCAACAGGAACTAAAGTCTCACATGTAAGGCCATCTCTAGAGACTGCAGAAACCCCAGTAACAAGCCCAAGCACTGGAATGGCAAATACTATAAGCACTAATGCTGGTCTCAAAGATACTACCTATGTGTTCAGCCCATCAATGGAGATGAAAGGGAAAGGAGCCACAATCTTCCATAGACAGGAAGGACACTACACACTCCTGCCTGCTGGTATATGGCCTATATCAAGGGAGTCAGAACACCCAGGGCATCTGGCCAAGAAAAGCCCCAATAGGGAGATGCATTCGAAAAGGCCATACACTCAGACCCCAGCCCAAACTTCCTCAAACACCAAGGAGGGAACTTCCACTGCAAACACATCAACTGATACAGTGCATTCCACCAGAGAGGTGCTGCTGCTGGAAGCTCCTGAAAATCCAGCTGTGGCAATAAAAGAAGAAACTAGTAGTTACAGAGAAGCGGCTGTAACTACAACCCATCCTCTCGCTTCTGATACTCTAAGCAGTGAAACTGCTGAGCAAGTGCAGTCTACACAAATACACAAGCCAATTCTCAGGAGGCATCAGCTCATCACTCCCTCTGAACAGGGGACCAGCAAACCCACAACTAACATAACCCCTGCAGGAGTTGGAAATACCCCTCTAAGTTCAAGTGGGGTCTCTTATACTGGAATGGTCTTAGCTTCCAGGCAGCTTGCCGAGGGAGTCTCTCTGCTGCAGGCCTCACCAGAAACAGTCAGCCTCATTGAACTGCACAGCCCAATGCATGCCATGATGCTCCCCAGGGAAGAACATGGCCGAAGCCCTTTCCCTCCAGAATGGGTGGAAGCTGTAGTCAGGCTAGGACTTGTCAGAGAGACTCTATCCGCACATTCTCCTGAGCCCCCAGTACAGAGACTAGAGGAGGTCAGTTTCTTACACCAAAAGAGAAAAGGAAAACCCTCTCCTCTTCACCTAGGAACAACACAACCTGTAGAAAATGAGACTTACTTGGAATCTTCTACCAAGAGAGTACTTGGTATAGGAGCCCTAGAAGGCCAAACTGAGCAGGGAACTACAGAAACTTCATTACTCAAAGCACTTGTCTCTTCCCCACTTGCAGAGAGACCTAGCTTGAGAGCAGGTGAAGCAACAGGAGCTGTGAACAATGTGCCTAGTAAGAGTACAGAGACTCAGACCATGCTCCCAAGGGAGACAAGGGCTGCATCAGCAGGACCCAAAGCCCCAGGACAGTCTTACTCCACTACATGGGGGATCAGAATGAAAACAGCTGAGGCCCTGAGTAGCCCAAGTGAGAGGGGGAGGACAGTCACAAGTAGCTACAGGAAGAAAAGTGGACAAGCCCATACCCAACCTCCTATTGGCAGCATATTTTCTGTGGGAAGTGACACAACTTATGTCCATCCAGCCCTGTGGCCTCCCTCCTACCAAAAGGTCCTGGCTGCCACAGAGACTCAAATGGAATCTGGAATTCAGTCTATTGTGGAAGGAATCCCATCTCAATATGTGGGATCTTCCCTTGAGAGCCAAACTACAAGCCCGTCAGCAGGGAGCAATGGAGGGAAACATAAGCTGTCAGCTCCAGTGCATTCCTGGGGGCTGGAAAATGAAACACATGCCACAAAATGGCACTCAAATCTAGCTGAGCAACAGGCCATCGCCACCAAACTGACCAGTGGTGAACTGTCAACCCCACAACCACAGATGCATAAAGCAAGAACTGCCACCAACTCTGCAACACCAGGTTCTGAAGAATCACATCAAATAAAGATGACTCAATTGCAATGGGCTTTCCAAAAGCTCCCCAGTAGCCGGTCTACAGTTGACTCAGAACTCCTGCACCTTGTTGGCAAGAGGTCTTTGCCAGAGATGGAGGAAAGGCCAGCTCCACCCCATGGCTGCAATCCAGATCACACAGTGAGTACTCTGAGCCATGGACACATTGGTCCTCTGATTCCAAACACCCTAGAAAAACTACAGGCAAAGGTTCTAGAAGCACTCCAAAGGCAACACTTCCTGTCACCTGAGTTTCAGAGGTTCCCTGCCACTGGATTACATCCACCTGCAAGAGGGATCAAGCATATTCCTTGGCTTGAGGCAGGTACCTCTTCTCACGA